GAAGCCACCTTGAACTGCCCAGGCAGATCCTTCCCATGACAGCAGACTCAGTTCACCCTCTGCATAACCACTTTGCACCACATGCTGCAGCATCCTCTGCTCCTCTCCCTCTGGGCCTTCATTCCCCCGTACAGAGACAGTGGCTAGAGAGCAAGAGAAGTTGCTATGGCTTTTGGTAGCTGAGCCTTTGTGCTATTCTCTCCATGCTCCATATTTTGGCAGTGTAGGAGAGCAGCTAGAACACTCTGTGCATAGGTTGTCTCTGTGTTTCTCTGCATGCTTAGCAAGCACATTAATTTGAAATCTCACCAAGCCAGCTTTCCCATGTGTATTGTTGTGCATGTAACAGACAGGCAGGTTTCTTTACTGTTTGCTCAGGGCACATATATTTCTGCCCCTCTTTGCAAAGACTTGGAAATTTGGGAAGCCTCGGGAAACCTTTTGGTCTGTGGCAGCCAAGGTCTCATTGTTCACTGCTCCATAAAGGAGTTGTCCCAGCTACTGCCATTTCTGAAGAGGTCCTTGCAGGCTCTCATGGCAGCAGATAGTCACCTCAGGGGGGCTGCATGCAAGGCTGGTGGGCTCTGTTTCCTCCTGCTAGACTTGCCAGTTTCTCACAGGGCACTGCCTCTGCACAGCCCCTCTCCTTGTGTTTGGGTGGGAGGATGGAGAGTATGCTCAAAACTCACAGGAAGGCATGAATCTAAAGTAGAAAATGTTCTGAATGTGGTAAAATACCTGCAAAACCATTTTGATGAGAGAGACCAAAGTCTGTATATTTGCGTAGCTGCAGTTTATCTCTCGTTCGCACGTGTTTTAGACAGGTTAAGTTGTGGTGTTGGAGAATAACCCTTGAGTGAAATATCACTCAGAGCAGCACACAATGATGTGAGATCTGGGATGATATCTCTCTGAAGATCAGTTTCAGTCTTCTAGCCCATTTCTGCTTCTTTTTGTGATCTGGAGGCTGCCTCAGGCAGTGAGATGGCTGCTCTTCTCACTGCGAATTTCGGAACACTTGATATGACAAACTGCTAGACTGACATTTATTAGGTTTTCTTTGTGGTTGATCATTCTCACATGGTAAATTATCTGCTTTATGTTTTTTGATTAATGTATTTAATCCTAATGAAATTATGTCAGATTGACTCCTTGGGGCATGTGCCTGCCTGTGCTCAAAGTGGCCCCTTGCAAGAAGGCAGTGCTTAGATCTAGGCTTGGACCCTCCCTCAGGTGACTTCCAGACAGTAAATCATCTATCATAAAAGCTGTTTTATGAAGACTACAAAAAATTCTATATTAGACCCTGTACTTGCTATTAAACAGGTTGAATTTACCCTTCTTTTGGTTAAAAATCATTTAGATATGTTATTGCAAAGGGAATTTGGGGCAATGTGACTTTTTTAAAAGTGCAGCATTATTTTGATGGTACTTTTATAGCAGTAGAAGTTAGTGGAGAGGCATTAAGGTCTGTGCTCACACAGACTTGGGAAATGGAAGATGATATAACCCACCAGGCAAAGGGATAGGAAAAGAGTTTGGGGAACAAATCCTGTGTGTTTTTGTTTGTTTAAATTCAGTTTTGTTTTTTTACCTTTTTGTCCAAACTGCTTTTATGCTTTTCTCTCTTTCAATTGCTGTGTGAGTCTACAACAGCTCGGGCATGACATTGACTATTGAACAAATGCTAACTGTAAGATGTTGGTGGAGTAATCTGCCCTTGAGAGCAGCTAGCTGTGTTGTGAAGAATATACTCAGCTGTGTGTCCTGAAACAGCCTTGTCCAGAAAAATTAATGTTAAATACAGCTGCTCTTAAGGCTCTGTGGTTAATTGCATCTGGTTTTGTTCAATTCACGGAAGAGAGCAGAAACGAAAATGTAATTTTTAAAGGCATCTTATTGGGCAGTTTTGGTTAGGATTTGATTTCCACCACCACCCCACCCCCACCCCCTCAAGACAGTGTTTCTTTGACTTTACAGTACAATTGAGTCCCTGGGAGGAGATCTGGATGTGCAAGGACTTCACATTCAGGTTCCTACCATTTTTCCATGTATTCAAAATAACATCTAGAGAGAAAAAACATCTTCTGTTGTGCTGAACTGATGTATTGACTCAGGAAGTTTTTTGTTGTCTTATTCATATTGTTGTGTACCTTCTCAAGGGTTTTCATCACTTTTATCCTGGTATAAAAATACAACCAACTGGAGAAGCTCCAGAGTTAACAGTGAATTTCATGGAGGAGCGTGTATGTAAAATCCTGATGTAGAAAGAAATGTATTCTTAGCTGCAGGATTTGAGTATGTTATTTAAATGGAAGTCCAACGTGAAAAGCAGTGAATTGAAAGTGGTACCTTCTTGCTCAAAAGGCCTGTGCTTTTTTTGCTAAAAAATGGGACTATTGTAACAGCCTGTAAAACCAGCCCAGCTGGGCTCTTCTCCTTTCTCTTTCCTCCAGAAATTTCAAGTATGCTTAGAGAAGTTGCTCTCATTGATATATATAACAGGCAAAACTTAGACAAATGAAGTTATACATAAAATCAGTTTGAGCCAACAAAGAAGTGGCATTGGTAGCAATAAATGGGAAGAAAGTAGTCCAATTTAACTTCCAGATTCTGAGTTTGCTGCCATCGATGACAAGAGCAGACTGAATCTGTAGACCAGTGGTTTGTAGTGGGTCCCACCACTGCCCATTACTGCAGCTGATTTTCATAAATTGACTTCTGTTTCCTTCACTGAGAAAATTATGCTGATCTCTTTCTGTGAGTGGAAGTTTCTCCCTGTCTGAGTGTGCTGGGACACTACTGCAGCCTGAGGATCAGCATGAGGGAGTGCTGTATTCTGAGGCCTGGAGATCAAACTTCTCCCCCACCCGTGCATATGAGAGTCCCCACACACTTTCGTTCTCTGCCTACTGCGTACGTGCTCTTATTACTTTGAAGATTAGAATATGACCTTTTTCAAGAACTTAGTGGTAAATGAGTTGAAAGACAAAGGTACTGCTTCATTAGTCCTGACTTTAATTATCCTGGCCTTGTGTGATGGGTCACAGTTGCTGCTGCCAAGTAAGTTTTAGGCAGTTAGTGCATTTCCATAGTCTCAGTAATTGCAGTTAGTGCATTTCCATAGTCTCAGAGCTGTTTTAAGGAGAAAATGGCAAAAGTTGGTGATGAAATAGGTAGAGAAGACTCATATATTGCTGTCAGACTGGGAAATGAAAATGTGTTTTCAAATCACACACTCCATATGTACAGTTTATTTGGTAAAACCTGTTCTTTCTCACACACTTCATATGCAAAGTAATGTGAAAGGTGCAAAAAAGAAAGGTAAACTCATATTGAAAAGGCTGGAAGTTTCTGAGTGATCGAGACAGTAACAGTGTTTAGAAAACCTACTGTTTTGGAAAGCTCTTCCTCTTGATTCTTTACAGATAATGGCAAAGATGTTCTTTGTCTCTGAACTCCTCGTGGTCCTCAGCTGTGGTCATAGTTTTAGTACTAACAAGTTTTGAAAGGTTCATATCTCAAGCCACCGTTAGATATGTGCAGCTGCCTACCTGCAGAGTCAGTCATTTCTATGGAAATCACTTGAGGGTAAATTGTATTTTCCAAACTGGCCCCCTTTCTTTTAATTTGCTCCAGACAAGGTAATTTCTTTTCACATTTTGTATAAAGGGAACATCTGCCCCAGAATGAAGACTTGATTACTATCAATCTAAGACTATTTTTACAGCTGTTTAAAAAAGGCAGAGAAATTGATTTCTTAATGTGAAAGTGTTTCTGGCTGAGAGCACAAACTGTGCCCAGCTAATGGTGCAAGAAGTGCTAGGCTTAAATTGCAAAAAGGAAATCTTTAGGTTAGATTCAGAACCAAACTTGCAAGTGGCATAACAGTGGTGAACATGCAGAAGTGTTGACCAAGAAGGGTTGAGACATGCCCAGAGATGTTTTGTGAAGTGTACAGTACAGGCAAGAAGAACTTCTCTAAGGAATGAGTTGGGTAGAGCCAGTCCAGTCTTCCGTCTGGGAGTAAAGAGAATATCAGACACTTCCTAATTTTCTGTGATGCTTGCTTTCTTAATTCCCCTCCTCCAAGAAAGAATGAGAAGACAGGCAGAAGAATTTCATACATGTGTTATATTTTTGACAGAAATACAGTGATGTAGAAACACAGTTCATCACATTCAGTCTCTCAGTAAATGCCATACTTGAAGAAGTCCTTTTGGTTTTCATGTGCAAATCCAGTTTTAAAATTGCAGGAGAAAAACATGATGATTCCTCAGCAAAGGTAATCAGAAATTTTGTTGCTCAGGATTCACTGGTACCTGAGGTACTCCATTGGGGTTCTATACTGGTGGTGTGTCCTCCAAGGAACAGCAGAAGCTGCTGTCCCACACAGCAGCCCTGACCAGTGTATAATGCTTACAGGAGAGAGGATTCACTGTTATCCCAGGCTGGCCAAGCTGTCTAAAGCAGATGAGCTCCAACAGTGACCTTCTGTAAACTTTACAGGAGGAAAGAGCAGAGTCAGGCGTTTAGCCAGATACTGCCTTTTAACTGCCAGATACCTTCTAACTGAGAAAGAAGGTTTTGAATAATTATTTGTGTATTTGCTCTTAGCAACAAATTTCTGATCACGTTGGCAAAAGCAAAACTGGTGTGGCTACGCCGAAAGCTGATTTTAAGGGGCACTCCCATGATCTGGGTAGTTTTCCTCTGGCAAGCCTTTCACATTCAGTAGATACTGTCAAGGCTAATGCTTCTTTTGGTGTCACTCCATCACTTTGCTAGTGCTGTTTCCTTTATCCAACATTTTCCCCCCCTTCACCTTTGAAGGGAGCAAAAATATGAACTAGGTTAACATTCACTGGAAAAACATTGTCCTTCTCCCTCCTGCACCCTCTCTGCCATGGACAAGATGCCCCTCCTACTATGTCAGGGATAATGCTGTTGAGGCAAGGGGGAGCCAAGGAAGAAGTGTTCTTTCACTGCTGGCAATCCCATCATATGGCAGAAGGCTTAAAGATAGGACATAGTTCAATAATAATTTTCAAGTGTGTTTTCTTACGAAATTCTTTGGCAGCAAAATAGTAAATGATGGCATCCAGGCAGCAGTTCAAGTTGGCTAATTGCATCGACAGCTGAATGAAGAGGCTGATGGTTTGTTTCAGGCGGCAGTCCACTATCACATGCTGTCTCACCAGGCACTGGAGGCAGATCGCAAGGTGGTAGGGTGTGAAACACACCAAAAACACCACAAGATTGATGATAATTATTCGTAAGGAGCCATTGCCTTCTACCTTTTTTTTAGCTTCCTTTTTGTGATTCAGAAGAATCCAGATGTTTCGAGCAGAGCAGAAAACCATCACTGCAAGTGGGATCAGAAATCCAAATGTTTCCACGGAAACAATGAGGGGGACACTCCACGCCTCATCTGACATGTTGTTAAAGCATATAAAATTACCTTTCTTGTGAAACACATACATTGGGGTGCTGCAAACGCAAGATGCTGCCCAGATGAAGCAGCAAATGAAGATAGCCCACCTGGGGGATTGGTTAGCTCGACCTTCAAATGGGTACCTTATGCAGATATATCTGTCGACAGTAATGCAGACAATGATGAAGACACTGCAGTACATGTTGACAAAATAGAGAGCCTCTATGAACGAGCACAGGAGCCCAGGTGCTTCTGTGCCAGAGTAGTATAGCTTCAGTGGGAGTGACAGAAGCAGCAAGACATCTGCAAGTGCGAGACTGATCATGTAAACTGAGGTTTTGGTCTGTTTTTTCCAAAAGCGGCAGAACACGGCGAGGGCCAAGGTGTTGAGAACCAGCCCGAGAATGAAGGTGGGGACATAGATCCCCAACTGCAGCATCTTCGCTACGCGGTCGATGGCTGTAAAACTGCATTCCTCACTGCTGTTGGTCATTTCTGCCCTGAAACGACAGAGACAGTAGGTTGGAAATGTGTAAGGCACCCAGTTAATGCCTTGATGAGCCAGACCAAGATATTTTCAAACATAATTCTGGGCTTTTTTTTGGTTTTGAGCTAGACACTTGGTCAGCCTTTGGCTATTATGGAAAGTAAAACCTTATTTCAAACACAGAGCTTTTTTTTTTCAATTTGAGTGTCTCAATCTGTTGTAAAGGAGTTTGATTCTCAAGGGCAAGTAGTCAGCACCCATGGACTACCATGGCCTTTGAGATAATCCCATTCAGATATTGAAGAGCTGACCCATTCCAACCTATACTTTCAAAACCTCTAAAGACTACTGGTTATCTCTAGTAACTTTTACATCTGTTGAAACTTCCCTAACATTTACATTTGGTTCTTTTGCTACACAGAAATTAATGAAACTCTTTATCCATATCAGAGCATGTCAACCTGATACCTGTGATTTTACTCTCATATCCATTATTCCCTATACATCAGTAGCTTTTGCTGATGTGCTTTTACTACACCCACATTTTTCTGATATTTTAATTTGATATAGTGCTTATATCCAATGCAGTATTTTAGAAGGTTGGCTTAAGAAGAATGATCTTTTATCTAGATGCAAAATGAGTAAGCACATTTTCTCATTTGTGTTTAACTTTAAGTATTGTTTAAAATTTGGGTTTGCAAGTACTTTAAATTTTAACTGTTTATCTTAGATAATACAACAAAGATTAGCAAATGGAAGGCATGACATCTTCATAATGCAGTTTGTAAAAAAGTATAATTTGTGTGGAATAAGTGCTACCACAGTTCTTAAAAAATATATGCATGCTCTAACAAACTGTGTTAAAAGTGGTTTTTGATAACATCTTTAAAATAAAATCACAAGAAATCCTAATGAGGGAGAAGAAATTAGTAGTTCAGGTTCCCAGTCCAGTTCAGAGAAAAACATCTTTGCTATGGAGAATGGAAAGTGACAGGTAGCTCATAAGCACTTGCCAAATGGAGCTGAACTTTTGCTAAAGAAACCAAAAACCAGTTAGTGAAAGACATTTTGCTTGCATGGCTAAAATAAAATATTAAAAAAAAAGAGAGAGAGAGAGAAAGAGAAACAGAGAACAAGCAGATCTGCTAAATATTAACTGAGAACATAGTCTTAGCTTTTGGCAACTCTTCTACTTTTCACAGGAATGCTGATATTGTGCTGGAGGTCAGAGGTGGGATGACTTGCAGGAATCAGTGAGTGATAATGGAAATCACTGTGCCTGAACACAGAATGCACTCAGAGCTTAACAGGTTTGTATTAGTGAAACAGTTTATTTCCAGCTCAGACTACAGAATGAACAGACATAAAGCCGAAGGTCCAACCCAGTAATTGCTATGAAGGATGTATGTTATGAGTGTATCTGGAAAAGGGGTGGGATGACTTGCAGGAATCAGTGAGTGATAATGGAAATCACTGTGCCTGAACACAGAATGCACTCAGAGCTTAACAGGTTTGTATTAGTGAAACAGTTTATTTCCAGCTCAGACTACAGAATGAACAGACATAAAGCCGAAGGTCCAACCCAGTAATTGCTATGAAGGATGTATGTTATGAGTGTATCTGGAAAAGGATCAATGTGTATGTTGATTTTTAAAGAGTGTCAAATGTGATTAAAGTAATTCTATAACTATTGAGTCTAAGCTTCACAGACATTTTAAAGAAGTCTGCTAAATAAGGCTTTGCTAGCTCTTCCCAGACCACTATCTTTCTTGATGAAGTATCTGCTTTTACAAATAAGGGAAAGGCTGAGGATTGAAGGCAACCTCCTCTCAGCAAAGTGTACTAGAAGCAACTAGACAGCACAAGAACAACAGGGGTTAGAACAAGGGCTGTTAATTAGGTGGGAAAATGGTTGCATGAAAGGTGATGAGGACTACAAACAGACTGGATGCAGGTCACCAGGGGGATGCACAAATCCACTCCTTGGCTGTATTTCCTGCAGTGACACCATTGTAGAAGTGAGGGTGACCCGTGGGGAGGTGCTGTTAGACAGGGGCTGGATACAACTGCCACCTGCAGACAATTGGACTGAGCCATGTGAGTTGGGCTGTCACAGCTTTGTGAATTTAGGAAATAGTAAAAGGAAATCTGGATGTTATCAGTGGATTTGCCTGTGAGAAATGCGAACAAAATAAAGCCTTGGTTTGTCGATCAAGGTGACATTCAATCAATCAGTCCCTTTGAGCCAGTAATGTCTAGCAGTTACTTAGAAAATCACATCTTTATGGTGCATAAGAGGTGAGAAAATTACACTGAAGACAGAGTGGCATTGGTGCTGTGTGTACAAGGGATTACAGTAAGGTGCTGTCACAGGCAGGACAAATACAGACTTAAGAGCATTGTGCTGCTGTGTGAGCATGGGTGTCCTGTGATCAAGAACATCCATTTAGCTGGGGCAAAATTAGATGACATAAAACATTTTGGGGGGGGTGACAACATCTGTTAATCCAGCACTTCATGTACTAAGTAAATAGATCAGAAAATTGTGTATGATATCTCTTAAGAGTATGAGTTTTGGTTCTACTTTTATCAAATTTCTAGATCACTGAATGCATTTTCTTTAGAAATCATTAGTACCAAATTATCTATAGCATTACTCCAGAAAGTGGTTAATTTCAAGAAAATGTTACCCAGACTTTAAATTGTAAATTTTGAGTACTCTAACGGAGTACCTGATTGTCAAAATCTTGATATTTTTTAGCATTTTACCCTCTCAGATTTAAAATTCACATCTTGAGTAAGTCAAGGAAATTGTTTGCAATCAGTCCAGATTAAGTAATACGTTTGCTCAAAGTTATTTGAAGATCCATTTTCTTTGACAAATAAGCTTGCTGTAATTTCATAAGCATCATCTTTACTGCATTGTCCAAATTATTAATAAAAATACTGATAACACTCATCCTGAAAGATACTGAACTGTTCCAAATACATCTTTCCTGTATGGTAGACACTGATTAGTATCTTGGTGGGTACTCACTAATCATATAGAGGTTTCATACAGATCATGTTTCCTTTGTTTGCTTATGAGAATTTCTTTAGAGATAGTGTGTGAAGATTGTTTCCCCCTCCTACACCCTATCCCCCAGTGCTGCCAGTGTGTCACAGAGGAAGTCAAATTACTTTTATTTCAGTCATTCTCAGATTAATCTGTGCAGATTGTCACTTACCACTGAGTTGCCTTCTGTGTGCTTGCAAACAGATTCTTTGGTGAGTGATTCCAATATTTTTTCAAATACTGAAGCCAGGCTTAGTGATCTACCATTGCCCAACTCCTCCCCTTCCACCACGTTTGTGCTTTTTCAGTCTTCTGAGGAAAATTTCTCTGTCCTTCACGGGTATTCTGAAGAATCTCCTGTCACTTAGGATTGTTTCAGACAACTTCTAGAAGCCAAAAGACAACATAAGATCCTGTAATTAACGGTACTCAAGAGTGCATCCAGCCTATGTGTCATTGCTGCTCCGTTTCTTCTCAATTTCTCCTACAGAGTGAGGATTTTCCACTTCCTATGTACTAGTTAAATGTTAATTGGGTTTACCCATAGCAGGAGTTTACAGTTGAATGAACACCAAAGGTGTCCTGACCTAGGAAACGAACAGGAAGGTTTTACAGTATTAGCTTTGCTAGGTTATTCGCAGCACAGCGGAATGGATGAGTGGTTTCCTCTTTGCAGCTTGGATCTCAGTTCATCTGGCTCTAGTTGGGATTCACAAATCTGTATGAGAACACAGATTGGGGATGTGAGATTATGAGTATTCTTAGCCATGAAAGCTTCATTAGCAAACCCATTTTTTGTTTATATCTATTTTCTAGAACATTATTCATGTTAGATACAAGTTAGTCTCTTGTGGATACACTGTGCAATGAGGAGTAGCAGCTCCCACACCTGATATTTATATTTTGTCTGTAGTTGTACAATTTCTTGCCATTTTTTGTAAGTATTTCGATTGCAACAGAATAGATTTATGCTTATCACTAAAGCATAAATTTTTCTTTCTACTCTAAGCTAAGCAACACTACGTTTGATCTTATTTTTTTAACTTTATAAGAAATAATTATCTAACTAGCTTAAAAATACAATCAATGCTGCTATTAATTCACTGAGGGGAAAAAAAAAAGTTAATAGTCAAGATAGGAATTACTTTACCTGAAACCCAGCATGCAGACCAGCAGCATTGCTTCAGCCCAGATTGTTCTGTAGAGCATGAGAGCATTTGCTTGCAGCCAGCCCATGGCTCACCAGTATTCTTCTAAATGGCATAACCAACCACATCCTTGTTTTCTTTTTTTTTTTTTCCTGTTTCAAAATGCACTCTGTGCTTATTTATATAGACAAGTAAAGGTGGAAAAAGTCTAAAGATTTGAACTGTCAGCTGTTTCCAGTCAGTAGTCAAAGTAGGGTGGGGAGCAGTTTGTCTGAAGCCAGGAGTTTTGGACTGGACTGTACCTGGTGCAACACAGCTGAGAGCTTTTATGAGCTTGTGGTGGCTACCTTCAAATTTTCAAGTATTCCTTGGGCTGAGAGGAGACGGGAAAGTGAAAAGTTGTAGGAGAGCTTGTAATAGAAATAGGGTTTCTTCCCCCAGTTCCTGCTCAATTTGCATACTGGAGATCAGTAGTTTAGCACTCAGAGGCTTCTGAAAGATACAGCTACTTACACACATGCAGCTGTTAAACTATTTAAAGGGCATGTGCCAGTTTTAGCCAGTTCAGGTGTATGATTCATTACTGCAAGGTGGCAAACCAATGTTTATTGGTGAGAGCTGTGAGGTACATAGAGCACTAAACTAGTGCTTTATATGTGAGTAACATAGTAGCCAAAACACACTTTTCTTCAAACAAGCTTTCAAGGTTTTTCCATCAATAACTTTTTCCTGATAGAGCCTGAAGCTCTTCCTCTGCTCTGGGAGGTGTCTGCAATGTACACCTTTTGGAAAGGT